GAAATGGAGCGTGAGAGAAAGAGAGAGAGAGAGAGAGAGAGAGAGAGAGAGCCGTTAATTGCTCTTTCGTTCGTTTCGGCGACTTTCCTTCGATAACGAAGAAAGATCGCACGATTCTTTCATCATCGTTATCGATAGACACACTCTTCAAAAAGTTGAGAAATTTCGAAATCGATTCGTCTTAATACTCGAATATTTTTAAATATTTATTCACCGATGTTGTTTGCTCGTAATTTCGTATCCCGTAACGCGAAAGCGGTCGTTTCATTTCGGTTCATACGCACATAAACTTTCTCGAGTATTATTCTCCTTCGATTCTCCTTTAATTTTCTTTAATTTCGATGGTTCGATGTGTTCAATCGTTCATTTCGCTTCTTATACTCGAATTTTCATACGCGATCAATCAAATCTGTCGGTTCTTCTCGAACAAAGAGAAACGCATCGTGTCGCCCTAAAGCGTTTACCCGTTTCCGTTAGCTTCGAGATCGAACTTCTTTTTCCAAGAGGAGGGGGAAACGATCGCGAGGGCTCGTTCCAAAGTCATGTCAAACTTGCGCTCGAAACTATTCGAAACTTGTTCCAAGATCGATTCGAAGATTCGGCCCAAGGTTGGAAGACTTGCTGTATCGTCGTTTCATCATCGATCGATGGGAAGGCTAGACACATTTCGCGGTGTATCGACGAGTCGACGATGAGAAGGATTTCTTCTTCCACTTACCGAATCTAGAGCGTTAAACGTGTATATTATTTCGCGTTTATATTATTATCGTTGCTTAGAAAATGTTTGCAAATATTTCGCGAAACGAAACGGGCAATGAACAGCATACGGACGAATCTAAAATTGATGCGTGGCAACCGTTCGATCGGGGCAACACCGTCTCGACTGACAGGTTAACGATACATTCATCGTTCNCATTATTTCGCGTACTTTTCGTTTGGTCGATAAAACTTCNTCTCTCTCTCTCTCTCTCTCTCTCTCGTTCGTTTCCAAATAACGTCACACAAAATATAACGACACTGATGCGGATTAAAAATTTTAGGGCGACATTGATGATCGATATGGGATGAAATATTATTCGGAGGATAAAAAAAAGAGAGAGAGGGAGAGAGAGGATAAAAGAGAAGTTTTAAATTTTTCGTTTATTTTACGGGATGCGAATTCGATTAAAGCGATGAAATTTGATAGGTATGTATATTTTCAGCAATTGGTCATACTGTTGTTTAGAGCTATATACGCCAATTTACTTTGTATTCGATTCGAGTTTGCGGTTGAACGGCGTTCCATGCAATAATTTCACATTCGCGAGTCAAATATCCGTGTTCTCGACTTTTCCCCGTTGTTGCTCTGTCCACCGAACCAATGACACTACTTGTCCACGATACGCCGCGTGCCTCTGTCGAACGCGTTAATTTCGTATCGCCACATCTCGAAAATTATATTTCCAACTGCGCGTTATGCGCAAAATCCTGAGACGAATATTCGCTCAGCTCGTCACTCTCCCTTCTACGATTGGCTAGAATTAACGAATCAGGTTGGGGGAAAAATCCGTTGGACGCGACGCACCACGGTTCACGAAATGGATGATGGAATATCGGGCAGAGGGAAGGAGGAAGGTATCCTGAGTGGTGGGGACGGATAGAGACGACGAAAGCAACGAAGATTTTTCTTCTCTCCGGTGGCAAACACGGGAATTACCTGTTGTACGACGGGATGGGTGGACAATCCGTGCGGCCATTTATCAAATTGAACGAGAGAATCCAGCGATGGACCCGTCGCGCGGTTTCCGTCGTTCGTCGCTGGAAAAAGGCGAAAAGAAGAAGGACGAGAAGATGGAAGGGGGGAGACGAAAGACGTAGAAAAGTCGGTCCCCGACCGTGGACGAAAGGTGGAACGACTATTTGTAATTACGTTTCTTTCTATCCGATACCGAGCTAGACTCTCAACGCCACTTTGTCGCTCCTTTCAATTTTTTCCTTTTCCTTCCTTCCTTTCTTTCTTTCTTTTCTTCTTGTCCCCTCTCTCCTGCTACGTCTGTTTTTCTCCTTTTCTGCCCCTTTCGTTCAAGAACCCTTGTCAACCCACTGGAAATGCCATATTGCAAATCTTTTTTCCCCCACCTCGTCGTTTCTCCTTTCGAAAATTCCAACGGTCGGGCTGCTATTGGCAACACGGACGCACTGATAAATTCTCCTTCGCTCGTTCGTTTCGTGGACGGGAACGCGCGCGCACGGTTAATTTTCTAATGGAAGTTCACTGTGGTCGATCGGATCAGTTTGACGCGACGCAGGAAAAGGCACGCGCGAGGGCCAAATTTTTTTCTCCCGATCGATCGCGATTATCTACCGCAGGACGACGAAAGAAATCCTGTTTACTGTTTTAAACCGATCGAAAGAGAATTCGGTGGATCGAAGAAACTTAGTCGGTTGTTTGGTCGAGATAAAAATCGATCCGTTATTCGCAGGATATTGCTTCGACGTTTTTATTATAGCGAAACGAGAGAGAGTGCGGATGGAAAATGTCACAAGGTGAAATACGTAGCTTCCGTGAGCCAGCTCGTTTTTTTCCCCCTCCCTTTTTTTTTCCGAGCACACATTTCCGATTGCTATCGAAGTTTATACGTATACGTGTGCACAGGGTGTCCCCAAAAAGTATCGAAACATTCGTAAACTGGAGACTCTCGAGGCAATTTCGAACGACATTTCTCCTTTGAACAGACTTTCGTTACGAGTTATTGCTATCTCAAAATCAAAGCGATATATCGTAGAAAATAAATACCATATGCGATTATTACGAGTATCGATTGAAAATTGTATCGAATCGTGTCGCTAATCAATAATATCTAACGCGCCTCGTTGCTTCGACCGTGTTCTGGCATTGGCCAATGTTTTTTGTCGTTTTAAGTACAAAAGGAATCTCCAAATCCAATTTTCGAAGTATCTTGCGTATATTCCGAAATTTAGAACGGATGGGTAGGGGAAAACGAGAAAAACACGTGGATCATTCGCGTATTCGGCCATGTCCATCATTTCGTCGCGTTTTCGCGAATCGATTCAACAGATTTCCTTTCGAATAAATACTAGGACGTCGAAGCAATCCGGATACGTAAACGACACCGATGCAACGCGCCGTTATTAAATACGTGTCATCTCGATCGACTCGAAATCCTTCTTCGCGAAGCGATTATTAGCTTCGAAACGAGAGATCTCCTCCATTACCGTTTTTATTGTTCGTGTCCGTATTAGAGTGTCCCATAAGTTTTTTTCTTTTTTTTTTTTGATATGAAGTGAATATATATTTGTTGTTTAAAGTTGATTTATCGCGTTATATAAAGGGTGTCCCAAAATTTACGCAGGATTTGAATTTTGCGCCATTAAAGTGTTGCCAACGAAAAAAAAAAAGATAGTATAGTTAATAGTTCAGGATTATTAAAAATAAAGCGTTACACGAAAGAACAACGCGTTTTCGTTGTTGAGTAATATTTTATATATTTATTATATTTAATTTATATTTATATTATATATTTATTATTTATTTATTATATTTAAAAATAATGAAGGTTCGTTTTCATCTCGATGGATCGGTTAATCGACAAAATTGTTGCATTTGGGATTCAGAAAATCCATGAGTGATCGTTGAAAAACAAATGCATCCACAACGTGTCATTGTTTGGGCTGGAGGCACCATTATTCTTCGAAAATGCGACTGGTCAGATAATAACGATTAACGTGCTCGCTATCGCGACATGATAATCCAAAATTGCAAGATATGGATGTGGACGACACGTGACTTTAACAAGATATGCCATTTAACAAGATAGTGCCACATGCCATATACCCCGAAAAACAACTCAATCATTGCACGAATCATTTCCTGGTCGTGTAATTTCGGTGATCAGAATTAGCGACATAATCTAATTTGCGTTATAAAATCTTGAATCTGGAAAGAACTTATTCACATGTTTAACAATTGTGTGGAGTATATATAAATTATTCGTGCTTGTCTATCAGAGAACAAGTTCTCTCATAATGTAGCAGGCACTTGTGTTTGATACTCAGAGCACGATGTGTTCACAAACTATTTAATCGTCGTATCCGAACTATGACACGTGATTACTACAAGACTCTATTTGGAAGCGACGATAATCATATCCTATGAAAAACGAAAAAAATCTTTTCTAGTTCAATCGAAAATGTCACAATTTTCGCCAATAAGCAATAGTCAATGTTCGATACTTCCAAGAGAAAAATTTTTCGTTTGGACGACGATATACAAAAGCAGACCTTCTCGAATCAACGCCATCCATCGGCCGTATTTGGAACACGCGGTGCTACCTTGAAAACAATCGACCAATAAACATCGCTCCTTGTTTCACGTTCGACGGAGGCCTGCCAATCATAGAAACGGGAAAGGAAGCCTCCTTTGACCAACTGAACGAATCGAAATGCTCGTAAATCTCTCGAGAGTAATAAGTGCTAACGCGAACACCTACTAATTCCGAAATCGACTCGTGTCAATTTTCCTCGATTACCCCTCTCTCCCTTCTGTCGAATCAAATCGATGGAAGTTATCGATAGTTTCGAAGAAAAGATGGGGCAAGAAAAAAAAAAACTTGTATTTCGTTTCCGCGTTGTATCCGGATCTCGATCCAACTTTGTTGTTGTCCAACTCCACGTCGCCTTCAACTTTCCATCTCAACTTTTCGCCCGACTTTTCCATCCTATCCCATCCCATCCAATCCGCCTGTAATCGCGGACGCGAAGTATTCGTAATTCGATTCGTAATCCCGTTCGTGACGCGATTTTAACCACGGATCATCACGAATTCCTTCGTCCTCCCATCCCACTGCGTTATCGAGGGAAAGGCGTTTCGTCGCATCGATTCGTCGCTCGAAACTTTTCGAAACGCGAGAAAAGGCGGACGATTTCGAGGGAAGGAGAGAGGGGGGAAGGCTTGGACGCGTGTGGCTATAAATTGAGGAGGAGAGGGGGGATTAAAGCGAGAGGTAAAATCGAAACTGCGAGTACATCTCTCTCTTTCTCTCTCTCTCTCTCTCTCTTTCTCTCCGGTTAGGCGAATCACACGATCGCGAGTAAGAGATGGGAAAGTTGCCACCAACTACGAGCGAAACATTCTCCCGTTCGATCCAATAACGAGCGAGATTTCGACATCGACTAGGAGGAGGGGATCCGATTATGAAAATTTTCGCGACAAACTTTCCGTCCCTTCCGCTCGATTTATTCCATCGATGACTTTTCGAACCGGCTATTCTTTTCCTTTCTCCTTCTTTTTTTTTTTCTTCCTTTTTTTTTCTTTTTTCTCTCTCGAAAAAGTTTCATTCCAGTTAACGAAACGAACATTCGGCCCTGTGAATAAGATTCCATCTCGTTCCTGAAACTTTCGCCTTTCCTCGAGTTATAAAGCGAAGGACGGACAGGACGGGTGTCGTTTCGGATCGCAGAGAGGCAGATTCGAATGTACGTAGGAGTGGGAAGGGGGGGGGGGGGAGAGGAAAGGAGCGTTCGGGTAAAAGAGGATAATCGATAGCAGCAAAGTGGCTCGATAGAGTTCGAGTTTCCTTCTCTTCCTCCGCCCCCCTCCTCCGTTTATCCCGAGTCATAAATCCTGCCAACTTAACTCTTAAATCGTTTTCTCGTCCCTCTCCACCTGGGAGACGAGGGATACGGACGAGACGCGAGGAAAGAACGGCTTCTTCTCGAGACGGTCCCCATGTTTTTCGAAACAAACTCGTACGGAAGAGAATCGTTGCGACCGAGCGTAAGTTACCTTCCCCCACTCCCTCCGCCTTCCCTCTCCACTCCTTCCCCCTCTCCTTCTTTTTTCGCCCGACACCTAGATAAATCTTGCTCGAAGAGAGAAAGAGAAAGAGAAAGAAAGAAAGAAGGAAATAAGTATCGGCGACCACGTCACGGTGAATCGAGAAACCTCGAGGACGCGAGGTAGTTGGATCGTGGGGAGTTGATTAACTTCGAAGGAGTCGAAATCCCAACTTTTAAAACTACGCTCGATTTTCGCGTCACCAACACGAATTAAACACCATGAGTCGTGCTTTCTCTCCTCCTCGAAACTCTTTCCATGCTTCGATGCTCGATCACTCGAGAGATGACTTTTCGATTCGAAACGGCGACAATAATTTATTTATGCTCGATTTTTTTTTTAAAATATCGTTTCATAAATAGATTCATAAGTTCTTCGCGTATATTCTTATAAAACGAATAATTTCGACGTTGGTCCAAATTTGACAGTAGCGGAAATAGAAATATTATTTTCAAAGTTTTTCAGTTTTGTAAGAATGGAATTTTGTAAAATGAAATTAACTCGAGGGAAGATGAATTTGATTTTTCGTTATCGAATAACGAAATTATTTCTGTTCGTTAAGAAATTGATAGAGGAGAAGGAAGATAGAGATGAAAATAGAGATGTAATAAGAGAAGGTGAAAAATAGGAATAATAGACGATGAATGTGAGAGCACGTTATTGAGATATTAGTTCAAGATGAGTTTTTCGTTATTGAATAACGAAATTATTTCTATTCGTTGAGAAATTGACGAAAGAAGGAAAATGTAGCAAGAGAAGATGAAAAATAAGAATAATAGACGGTGAACGTGAGAGCACGTTATTGTATTATTGTGATATTTGCCCTGACAAACCGAGGATGCATATTGGCGATTCCTTTATATCGCACGAAAGTTTAATATTCAACGAGTTTTCTTTCTTTTTATACACGCAGACATATTGTACAAAAAAAATATCAGAATACAAAAGTTTTACACGTAGATTCGTGCGTGAAATTATTTCGAGTCATTTCAAGAATTTTAAGAAATTCACCGGAACGGAAATTCACGGAAAATCGTCTGGAAAATCGTC